AAACAAGCACTTATTTCTTATTCACACACCTGCAGTTGATAGAGGTTCAGCTGACCTAACCTGGGCTTGCCTGGACTTGGTTCTGGGATGTGGGTTGGGCTCAGTTCTGGACCACATGTTTCTTATCCTCCATGTACATGTTCTTCTCATGGGGAAAGGAAGGAGAACAAGAGACAAAGTCACGCATACAAGCACATTTCGTGTCTACTTGTCTAATATTCTGACCTCCCATTGGCTATAGCGAGTCACATGGCCAAGGCTAACATCAGCAGCAAGGGAAATGCACTTCTCTCTTTAGGTTGTGGGACAAGGGGAGAGAATGAACATTTGTTAAACCATAAGATAGCCTACCCCAGGATTGTAGCACTTTTTATCCTCGTGATTTTCCTTTGCTGCACTCTAAATTTCACTATTCAGGTAAATTGAGAGGCATGAGAAACGGCAGGCATGGTAAGTTGTGGTCTACCATATTTCCTGCTTTCTGAACTTTTGCATGTTCTAGGTAAAACCATTCCTAGTAAATTATTAAATCTGCTGAACATTTTTCCCATGATGCACTTGCCTCATTTTAGGATCTCCCACCTTTTTGATTTCAAATATTAAACTTCTGGCAGTCACCTCCCAGACATTTGATATGCCAAAAAACATTCTTTTGCAACAAAACCCTACCAACAAATTTCCTAGCTCTTTGCTCATTGGCCTATAACAGTGTCAAGCAAAGCTCTTCAGGACAGAGGTTCCAGGAAATGAATAATAATGTGCTTTCAAGGACTTAATGCAAGCAAAGAAACCAAAAATTGATTAAGGAAATATTGTCCACTAGATAGGTATCTTCATAATGAAATAAAGCTGCTATTTCTTTGATGTTAATTTGAATTTTATACAGAGCCTCTGTAATTGAGCAGAACCCTGGAGAGAGGAATCAAGGGAACACAAATTATAAGCTTTTTGTGTCTTAATAGAACAAGCATACTTCGTATCATTACTTTTCCTGCAGAACAGGATTTAATTTGGAGGAAAATCAAATTAACTTTTTAAAGTACTAGTATTATGTAACATGACGTAATGTAAACTATCATAATAACCTGTTAACATTTATTAAATGATTAAATTATTATATGCTAAGTACTTGTATGATGGCACAGGTGTATATTCTCTCACTTAAATCCTCATAATAGCCCTGTGAGATAGATATTATTATATCCCACATTCATAATATAATATGTTATAAAAATTAATCGAAGCCATAGATATGCCTCTCTAAATTCAAGATAGAGGGTAAAATAACAAGGCAAGAAAAATAGGGAAGACTCAACATTTCACTGGCCGGGGCACGTAGTTGTTTTCTATTTTTGCAGAGTGAGTTTTTCAGTTTCATTATGAAGGTAAAAGCATTGTCAGCATTGAGACCATTGACATCAAGTCAGAAAAACTTATTTGAGAAGTTTATTGTACTGATATTTCATCAAATGTACGTTAAGGGGTTCCAAATGCAATGACCTACTTTCTAATCCCACCTTGGTCTATATGATGTTTTGGCTATGCTGCAGTTTTCCTGTACACGTTATTGATTTCTATCTCACTCTTATTTCTATCGGCAGGTTGTTTTAACAGAAAAAGAAAAGGTAGGAGTAGGTTATAAACTGAGACTGTACTTCTGTCATGCCCTGTAAGCATTTTCTGGACTCTTCTGAAGCCTAGGAGTGCCAGGAGCTCTAATTCACTGGCTGTAATAAAACTTTCTATATTTGGATGTGAATTATCTCATGAGTTGGTTTGAGGTACCTCAAAGTGTATATTAATTAAGCTCCAGCCCCAAGCTGGCAGCCTATGTCTCTGACACACCACTTCTAACAGGGGCAGCTTGCTGACAAGAGGTTTGGCTACACTTAACACCCATGTACTTTATGAATTTTCAGGATTTGAACTTCTGCATGACTTTGGCCTGAATGATTTCCATAAATATAAACCGAGTCCCAACACTTAGAAATACATTGCTTGTAAATTGTCTTTTCCCCTAGTTTCAATATTTGTGAATCCCTTTTATCTTCTTGGTGTCCTGATGGGTTCTTATTACTCCAGCTTCAAGAATCCAGAAGCAAGTTTGTGACTTTTGTGCACTGTTGTGTGCAGAAAGATGGACCATGCTAGTTGGATGCTCAAAAAAGAGATGCCCCTGGCTACCTCCTTTCTCTGTGGCATTATTCTGCCTGTGCAAAGAATTATTCTTGTTCTAACATCTCTCAAAGTGACTGAACAAACTATTTTTTTCCTTTCTCTAACGTGCTGCTTGATATTCTGAATGCTGATGATGCTGTTGAAAGTATTTTCAATCTATTAAGCATTAACCTTTCAGTCTTAGGTTTTCCCATAACACTTGGTGCATATCTCAGTTTACTAGTTATATCCATTCCTTGATTATCCATTCTGTGGTGAAGTCACTCCCTACAAGTGAACTTGAGGATAGGGAATGTGTCTTATTCTTCTTTCTATCACACATACTTTTACAGTGCCTGCCATAGATAGGTAGGTCCTCAGTACCTGTTCATTGAGTGAATGAATAAATGGGGGAGTGAATGAATGAGTGAACAGAAATGTACTCCATTCACTTTATGAAACTAGCAGAAACCTTGAGACTAAAAAAGAACTGAAAAGAAAGATATAGGCCTAGATCACTTGGGAAAACACATGCAGAATCCTAAATGAAATTCCAGGAAACCAAATTCAACAGTACATTAAAAGAATCATCCAGTATGACCAAAAAGGGTTTATCCTGAAGCTGCAAGGATAGTTTTCTATTAAGAAAGCTCTTGCTGGTGGTGTGGAAATGTAAAGTGTTACAGCCATTTTGGAAAGCAATCTAGCAATATCTATTAAAGTTGAAAATATGTATGTCTTTTGAGCCAGCTATTCCACCCCTGGGAATCCATCCACAGAAATAAAAGCACAAGTGCATGAGAATACACATACAAAAATGTTTCTTGTAGGATGGTTCAGAGTGGCAAAAACGTGGAAACAAAGTTAATGCCCATCAGTGGAGAAGGATTAAATTATGATGGCACACCCACGCTATAGGATATTATGCAACCTTTAAAAAGAATGAATTAGAGTGATGATTTCTACAAGGTATTATTTGATGATAAAAAGCAAAATGCATAAGAGTAGTTATAAGATCCCATTTAGTTAAAAAATAAAAACAAACCTCAAAAAGCAAAACAGAAAACAAACAAATCTGTGTAGTTCTCTATTTACTCATTGAATAACTTTGTAAATATTACTTATTTTGATCTGTTTCTTTCTTTGTAAAATTGGAGGCAATAACAGTACATATCTTAGAGGATTTTTGAGAGATTAAAGGAGCTAATACATGTAAAATGTCAGGTACACAGAAAGTAACTGATGAATATTAGCTATTATTGTTAGGTTATAGACATGAATAGAATATGCAGAATCCAATGAAAAATATGGAAGAATACATAGTAGATTGTTAACCTACTTTTGTTTTGTGTAGAAGAGAGGCTGATGTTGGAGAAAGAAAGTTCAAGTAAATAAGGAAAATAAATGTATATTTCACATTTATGAATTTATTTTAAATTGTGGCACATGGAACTATATTATAAATAAATTGAAAAATCTGTTACTAAGTTTGTCAAATCAATTGACCCAATAAGAAAGAATAATACAAAATTATGTACATTGAAAGACATTTACTAAAATTCAATCCCATCCCTCCTTAAGCACCTGTAAAAAAATTTTGAAAGGTGCTTATTTAAATATGTAAAGGATAAATATTTAAAATAATAGCCATCATTAACTCTGATGGGGAAAGAATAGAACTGGGCTTCTCATTTATGTATTTTCTGGGATAGTAATTCTGCAAGTGGAAAAAAATGGATTCTTGTAAGTGCAATAATTTGGGAACATGTTGCTCACAAGTAGCCCACACCTGAGTCATGGTGAATTTCAGAATGGCAGAGGTCTAAGAAGTCCTTTTCCACCTTTCGTTCTAGGTAAACTGTCACTTCCTCAGAGACATGGGCCCAGAGACATGGCCCTATTTCTTCATGTGTGTCCCCTTTTCCTCCATGCTCTGTCACATTGCTCTGTGTCCTCCCATTGCAACCATTAATTAAGGGAACACCAAGAAACAGTGAAATTTTCTTAAGAATTTTCTCCTTATGTTCTCTAGTTGTTATTTACACTGTAGTTTCCTTGATTTAATCAGATTTCTTCGTGAACATTTTTCTTCTTAAGAACTTTTTAAAGAAGTTTATCTTTAAAAAGTCAATTTCTGTGGACATTGCAGCGGAGAGTCATGATGACGTCATTGCTACTGTGTGCGTGGCTTGTTGAGAGGTATTGACTCATGGTGGAATTTCAGGTGTTGGTTTTTCATACTTGCAAAAATGGGGCAGTAGTTCTTGCATCTCATCTTTCCTGGAAGTATTTTGTGCATAAAAGAATGCATTTTTACAGAGTCCTTTTCGGTTCCCCTGATGGAATGAGTTTGACATTGGCAAGATAGTGTTATGATTGCTATCAAAGTTCAAAGACCGTTTTTCTTTCTCATGGTTAACTCTATAAGCAGCCAGTGTGGCCAAGCAGCTAGGTTCTCTCTTATCTTTCTTAGTGCTTTGTGTTAAGATCCATTTAAGCCTGTGACTATTTTTTTTTTTTCCCCTTTTTCGGGGGTAGGGTGGTCAGGAGAGGTTTTCAGAATTGAAAGAATTTCTTCTGTTTTTTTTTCTTTCTTGTGATCACAGAATAACTGTGTTAAGCCTTTATACTTGAGCAGAACTCTAGTATAGATAAAATGTATGTTTGCCCCTAATCAGTTGGGCTGAATTTCTGTGTCATACTGCAGTGATTATAGCCACTGTCAGATTTTCTGATTACTGGCATCTCTATCAGCCACCCTTAGATAAAAAACTCCATTTGTCCTGAACCGGTAAGCACAGGTGGGCTATTTAACCATTTTCATATACTTCTTTCTTCTCCAGGTCCTTATGAACATGGAAGACATAAAAGTTCGTGAAACGCAGATTTTTGACTACAGGAAAAAAATAGCTGAATCAGAGATTAAATTAAAACAGCAACAGAACCTGTATGAAGCTGTGAGATCAGACAGGAATCTGTATAGCAAAAATCTGGTTGAGGCTCAGGTAAATAATATATTTATGTCCTTACATTTTGATTTATTTTCACCCTGCATTTAAAACAGTTTCTGTTACCCTAATGGCAGAATTTAGAATAGATAAAAAAAAAAAATCTCATGGAATTCACCTGAAAAGAAGATTAATTTATGTAAAACTATCAGGTTATTTGAAATAGAAATGATACATCTTAATAGGATGTGGAGATCATGGTTCTACTTATAATTATTATGTAGAATTACTATTCTTGTCTTTCTACTTTTTTTTTTGAGGCGGAGTCTCACTCTGTCACCCAGGCTGAAGTGCAGTGACATGATCTCAGCTCACTGAAACCTCCGCCTCCCGGGTTCAAGTGATTCTCCTGCCTCAGCCTCCCGAGTAGCTGGAATTACAGGTGCATACCACCATGCCTGGCTAATTTTTGTATTTTTAGTAGAGACAGGGTTTTCACCATGTTGGCCAGGCTGGTCTCAAACTCCTGACCTCAAGCAATCCACCTGCCTTGGCCTCCCAAAGTGCTGGGAATACAGGCATGAGCCACTATGCCCGGTTGTCTTTCTAATTTTCAAAACTGCTAATAGCTACCATGACTCAGTGGGCAGCAGCATACTCTTTTGAATTCCAGAGCTTCGCTTCAAAATCTTTTAGTTATATGTTTGTTGTGCTTCCAATTCCTTTCATAAAAGGAGGAATAAGGTGTGTGTATGATGTTCATTATGCATATTTTGTGTGTATCTCATGAGAATATTTTGAGAGTTAATACTATATACTATAAAGTACTTTGAAGTCGATGGGCACTAGAGACAAAGGATTAGCCCAGTTGTAATTGATCAAGAGACCATTATTTTGAGAGAGCGTCCCTTAAGAGCTCTTAAATATATATTGAACTTCCATAGGGACGATGATGTCTAATTCACTTTCAAACATTTCTCCTTCCATTTTGTTAGGATGAAATAACAGAAATGAAGAGAAAGTTAAAGATTATGACCCATCAGGTAGATCAGCTGAAAGAAGAAATCTCTGCCAAAGAGTCTGCACTTGTGAAGCTGCACCTGGAACAGCAGCGAATAGAAAAGGAAAAGGAAACATTGAAGGTACTGACCTCATAGTAAAAGCAAAGGACCAATAGTTCATCAGCCTACCTAGGCAACCTCCAGTCTCACTGAAGGTAGCGAGGGGCAGGGAGAACAACCACGTCTGCCTGTGGTCACTGTTGCTAGTTATCCAAACCAAGCAAACATGGCACCCGGAGGATGAGCTTTACCAACTCTTGTTCAGGGCTCCTTACAGGTAGTGTTGCTAGGTAGAATGGGGGAAGGGAGTAGTGGAGATGCACACATACCCCTTTCATTTATGCAGGCTATCATACATCAGTGGGAGAGAACCTAGCAGGTCAGCAGTGCCAAGAAGTCCTTGAACTTGCATGCCCGCTACAATCCCTCTGCATTCACAACCAAGTCCAACCATTGTGCTCACACTCAACCCTCCCAAACTCCTCCCTGAGCCTTCTATAGGTGATGCTTTGTACCTCTGTTTTTTACTTTGTGTGCCTGTGACTTTTCTATCTGCAGTCTTATCAACTGGGTGATAGAGCTCTGTTCTCACTTGGTTTACCCTTGTCCAGGTTTGTAGTTCACTTTACCTCTGTGGGTCTAAGAACTTTGCAGCTGCTCTTCCAGAGATCATCTCTGTCTCCATATATCTTACTAAGACATACCCTTTAAAATCTACTAATTTAGAATATTCTATGTCTACTAACATAAGGACCCTTTCCAAGAATACAAAGCAAATAATTACGCCATTTTAAATCCTCTAACCAAATATGTTTTACTATACACTTCACTAAACTTAGTGTATTTTTCTTTTTCCTATCCAATCCAATAGGTTTCCCTTCCAATCCATTTGACCAAGGATTAAAAAAGAAACTTCTAAGAAAATAATGCCAGTTTTGTTATGAAAATATATGTGCAGAATGCTCATGGGTTCTTAAGAGCTACTTGCAGAAACTGTTTACAACAAATTAGAGACTGGGTACCTTGGTTTCTGCACATATTAGCTTTCAAAGATAGTCACTGTCTTGAAAATGTATATCTAGTGTTGGGCAGGTTCAATGCCATATTTCCTAGATTCTAAGATACCATAGATTGAAATAGGCACTCTCAGTTTAATAATGAGTTTTGTCAAGTTAATGATAGGTTTTCATGGAAATAGAACTACTACATTAAATTAACTTAAAGCTCATTTTGTTTGAGAAGATTAAACTGTAACAAAAGTGAATGTACAAAAAAGGATATTGTAACTGATGTATTTACCTGTCTCAGACATTCATCTCCGCCACTCTATCTTATGATAGAAAAAGAATAGAAGATTCTGCATTAAATGATTTTTATGTATAAAGAAATATACATATATTTTCTAAAACTGGAAAATGTTCTGCACTTTGCCCTTATACTCCTTGTTTGAAACCAGAGTTTTATAGAAAACGGTTTGTTCCACTGTGGAGCTTGTAGTGGGATAGGGTTTATTTATTGCTGAATGAATCAGAAGAAACTTATTTTTTTTTTTTCCAAATTTTCTTTTTTTTATTTGTTATTATACTTTAAGTTCTAGGGTACATGTGCACAACGTGCAGGTTTGTTACATACGTATACTTGTGCCATGTTGGTGTGCTGCACCCATCAACTTGTCAGCACCCATCAACTCGTCATTTACATCAGGTATAACTCCCAATGCCATCCCTCCCCCCACCGCCCCATAATAGGCCCCGGTGTGTGATGTTCCCCTTCCCAAGTCCAAGTGATCTCATTGTTCAATTCCCACTTATGAGTGAGAACATGTGGTGTTTGGTTTTCTGTTCTTGCAATAGTTCGCTGAGAATGATGGTTTCCAGCTGCATCCATGTCCCTACAAAGGACACAAACTCATCCTTTTTTATGGCTGCATAGTATTCAATAGTGTATATGTGCCACATTTTCTTAATCCAGTCTGTCACTGATGGACATTTGGGTTGATTCCAAGTCTTTGCTATTGTGAATAGTGCTGCAATAAATGTACGTGTGCATGTATCTTTATAGCAGCATGATTTATAATCCTTGGGGTATATACCCAGTAATGGGATGGCTGGGTCAAATGATATTTCTAGTTCTAGATCCTTGAGGAATCGCCATACTGTTTTCCACAATAGTTGAACTAGTTTACAATCCCACCAACAGTGTAAAAGTGTTCCTATTTCTCCACATCCTCTGCAGCACCTGTTGTTTCCTAACTTTTTAATGATTGCCATTCTAACTGGTGTGAGATGGTATCTCATTGTGGTTTTGATTTGCATTTCTCTGATGGCCAGTGATGATGAGGATTTTTTCATGTTTCTGTTGCCTGCATAAATGTCTTCTTTTGAGAAGTGTCTGTTCATATCCTTTGCCCACTTTTTGATGGGGTTGTTGTTTTCTTGTAAATTTGTTTGAGTTCTTGATAGGTTCTGGATATTAGTCCTTTGTCAGATGAGTAGATTGCAAAAATTTTCTCCCATTCTGTAGGTTGCCTGTTCACTCTGATGGGAGTTTCTTTTGCTGTGCAGAAGCTCTCTAGTTTAATTAGATCCCATTTGTCAATTTTGGCTTTTGTTGCCATTGCTTTTGGTGTTTTAGACATGAAGTCCTTGCCCATGCCTATGTCCTGAATGGTATTACCTAGGTTTTCTTCTAGGGTTTTTATGGTATTAGGTCTAACATTTAAGTCTCTAATCCATCTTGACTTAATTTTCGTATAAGGAGTAAGGAAAGGATCCAGTTTCAGCTTTCTACTTATGGCTAGCCAATTTTACTAGCACCATTTATGAAATAGGGAATCCTTTCCCCATTTCTTGTTTTTGTCAGGTTTGTCAAAGATCAGATGGCTGTAGATGTATGGTGTTATTTCTGAGGGCTCTGTTCTGTTCCATTGGTCTATATCTCTGTTTTGGTACAAGTACCATGCTGTTTTGGTTACTGTAGCCTTGTAGTATAGTTTGAAGTCAGGTAGCGTGATCCCTCCAGCTTTGTTCTTTTGACTTAGGATTGTCTTGGCAATGTGGGCTCTTTTTTGGTTCCATATGAACTTTAAAACAGTTTTTTCCAATTCTGTAAAAAAAGTCATTGGTAGCTTGATGGGGATGGCATTGAATCTATAAATTCCTTGGGAGGTATGGCCATTTTCACGATATTGATTCTTCCTATCCATGAGCATGGTATGTTCTTCCATTTGTTTGTGTCCTCTTTTATTTCACTGAGCAGTGGTTTGTAGTTCTCCTTGAAGAGGTCCTTTACATCCCTTGTCAGTTGGAGTCCTAGGTATTTTATTCTGTTTGAAGCAATTGTGAATGGAAGTTCATTCATGATTTGGCTCTCTGTTTGTCTGCCACTGGTGTATAAGAATGCTTGTGATTTTTGCACATTGATTTTGTATCCTGAGACTTTGCTGAAGTTGCTTATCAGCTTAAGCAGATTTTGGGCTGAGATGATGGGGTTTTCTAAATATACAATCATGTCATCTGCAAACAGGGACAATTTGACTTCTTCTTTTCCTAACTGAACACCCTTTATTTCTTTCTCTTGCCTGATTGCCCTGGCCAGGACTTCCAACACTATGTTGAATAGGAGTGGTGAGAGAGGACATCCCTGTCTTGTGCCAGTTTTCAAAGGGAATGTTTCCAGTTTTTGCCCATTCAGTATGATATTGGTTGTGGGTTTGTCATAAATAGCTCTTATTATTTTGAGATACGTTCCATCAATACCAAATTTATTGAGAGTTTTTAGCATGAAGGGCTGTTGAATTTTGTCAAAGACTTTTTCTGCATCTATTGAGATAATCATGTGGTTTTTGTCTTTGGTTCTGTTTATATGCTGAATTACATTTATTGATTTGCGTATGTTGAACCAGCCTTGCATCTCAGGGATGAAGCCCACTTGATCATGGTGGATAAGCTTTTTGATGTGCTTCTGGATTTGGTTTGCCAGTATTTTATTGAGGATTTTTGCATAGATGTTCATCAGGGGTATTGGTCTAAAAGTCTGGGGTTTTTTTGTGTCTCTGCTAGGCTTTGATATCAGGATGATGTTGGCCTCATAAAATGAGTTAGGGAGGATTCCCTCTTTTTCTATTGATTGGAATAGTTTCAGAAGTAATGGTACCAGCTCCTCCTTGTACCTCTGGTAGAATTCAGCTGTGAATTCGTCTGGTCCTGGAATTTTTTTGGTTGGTAGGCTATTAATTATTGCCTCAATTTCAGAGCCTGTTATTGGTCTATTCAGGGATTCAACTTCTTCCTTTAGTTTAGTCTTGGGAGAGTGTAAGTGTCCAGGAAATTATCCGTTTCTTCTAGATTTTCTAGTCGATTTGTGTAGAGGTGTTTATAGTATTCTCTGATGGTAGTTTGTATTTCTGTGGGGTTGGTGGTGATATCCCCTTTATCATTTTTTATTGTGTCTATTTGATTCTTCTCTCTTTTCTTCTTTATTAGTCTTGCTAGCAGTCTATCAATTTTGTTGATCTTTTTAAAAAACCAGCTCCTGGATTCATTGATTTTTTGGAGGGTTTTTTGTTGTTGTTTTTGTTGTTGTTGTTGTTGTTGTTGAGATGGAGTCTCGCTCTGTGGCCCAGGCTGGAGTGCAGTGGCCGGATCTCGGCTCACTGCAAGCTCCGCCTCCCAGGTTCACGCCATTCTCCTGCCTCAGCCTCCCAAGTAGCTGGGACTACAGATGCCCGTTTGGAGGGTTTTTTGTGTCTCTATCTCCTTAAGTTCTGCTCTGATCTTATTTCTTGCCTTCTGCTAGCTTTTGAATGTGTTTGCTCTTGCTTCTCTAGTTCTTTTAATTGTGATGTTAGAGTGTCAATTTTAGATCTTTCTAGCTTTCTCTTGTGGGCATTTAGTGCTATAAATTTCCCTCTAAACACTGCTTTAAATGTGTCCCAGAGATTCTGGTATGTTGTATCTTTGTTCTCATTGGTTTCAAAGAACGTCTTTATTTCTGCCTTCATTTCGTTATGGACCCAGTAGTCATTCAGGAGCAGGTTGTTCAGTTTCCATGTAGTTGAGCGGTTTCGATTGAGTTTCTTA